CGTGAATATATATATACAGTTTTTCTGAATTGTTAAAACACTAAACCCCAATCTCTGAACCAAATTCTCACTAGTTTAAACCAATTTGTCGAATAAAGCACTCCTTCTGTTAAACCTAAGACACATCCAGGGCAGTTAGGCTCTATTTGCAAATCTCATGCACTCTTTTTGCAAAACTTTAAACACATTCTCATTCACTTAAACACTTATCACACTGTGATGCATTTGTGCTGCAAAATGCTAAACACAGACCTTTTTGGCCTTTGCAGTTGGACTGCAGTATTTTTGCAGTATCCAAGTGCTGAATATATACAAACATTCAGTACTATTCAATATTCAGCACAATACTGTTCTTGCAGTACATACAGTAGGCCTATATAATATATTCACCTAGTTGCAATTACTGTACTTTTTTACAGAATTGCAAAATTGTTTACTCAATACAATATAGCCTACTTTTTTTCTGTAATGTTCTGGATGCTGTGTTCTCCATTTTTCTATGTAGTGTCTAATGAATGCTCTGTAGTGTTTATTTTATTGACTCGTGTGTGTGATCTGAGAGCACAGTTTGATTTTGAGTGCAAGTGAAATGGTTTTGCAGCGATTGTTTGATTTTGACGGAAGAGTCAGAGGTTTCGATACAAACCAAATTTGTGTTTAAGGTTTTGAGAAAATGAGTGATGGTTTCAAGAAATGGGTTTTAGCCATTCAGAAAAACTGTAACATACACAAAACACGAAACAAACACGTTTGACAGCGTAAAACAGCAATTCCCAGAGTCCCTTTCTTTATCGGAAATGACGTTCACAGACCCGCCCCTCGTTGCCTTCCAAAATAATCGCGCTTTGTGAATCCAACATGTCGGCGCCCGTGGAGGTAGTTCTGTGTGCAGATTCAGCGGGTCAGCTGTTTAACTGCGCGGTTTTCGACCCTCATTCCGGGTCAGAGTTCTTGTCCTATAGCGGGGGCAACACCTCTTCCCGGTCTTTAACAGTCCTGAACGGAGAATACATATTAGGAGCTCAACTCGGCAAGAACTTCATCAACGTGTGGGAGATCCAAAGAAAGGTGTGTAGAGCTGCTGCATCTAACGTTAGTTAATACTGAAAATAAGCATCACTGATATTACACTCAAGAATATAGTAATAAATAGCAGAATTGTTCAGAAAAAGTGTTCTTCAGTTTAATTAAAAGATGAGTGTTAATGGACAGTTGACATGTCAAGCTATGAGAGCGGAACTTGAGTGCTGCACAGCGTTTTATAATTTTTGTATACTTTTTAAAATGTGTCACATCGTAGAAGTTATTTAAATGAAAGCAAAGAAGCTCGAAACTGAAAAAGTGGTCTAAACTATAATATTTGTTACATACTAAAATACAAATATCAGCTGAAAAATATTGCAGTCGTCACTGGAAAAATAAAGTCCTGATTTTCATATTTTAATAAGCATTATGCAGTAGGCCATTCCAGGATGATAAACAAGTTTTTAATTGTAGGAGAAGATCTACCAGTATGTTCTTTCGGTCAAACCCCCTTATCCACAAAGCGTGTTTTGTTAGATTGTATTGGTTTTAACCCTGTGAGAAACCTTTGAAATATTTAAGTTAAACCAAATATAGTTTTAGAGTACCAAATATAATATAATATAGTACCAAATATAGTTTTACATTTTCTCACCATGAAAATAGCCATGAGAGCTGGCATGGCGTTAAACAAACAAACATTAATAAGTGTTATTTACACACATCTGCTCATGATATAAAATATAGACTAACTATTTAATAAATAGCCAACAGTTTATTGGTTTATCATGGCTACCAGAGATTAAAAAAGTAATACTGGTTTATACAGATGACTGTGTTGTGTGACTTGGTTTGTCAACGTGATTATAGGCCTAGAAACAGACAGATTATAACTGTTTTGGTTCAGTGAATGAAGGTGAAAGTGCACCTGTCAGAAATATGAACAATATAAAATTTTGTACAGCCAGAAATATGTGCTCTCACTCATGTAACTAAAATATTACTCTGTTTTCCTGCAGTATTTAAAATTCAAATCTAAGTACGTTTAATGGCTGTCACTGCTTGTGAGTTCCAGATGGACCCTATTGTGAGAGCACCTGAATAACCTTTTAATTCTGCACATTACCACCTTTCAGGACCAGCTGCAGCAGAAGATCGTGTGTCCTGGGATCGTTACGTGTCTCTGTGCGTCTCCTGATGGTCTCTGTGTACTGGCAGGCATTGCTGAAGCTATATACCTGTGGGAGGTGAGTGAGGAGACGGGTTTTGGGCATCAAGAAATATTGCACAGTTTTTCTGTGTTTTGACATAATTCTCATTCAGTTAATTCATTAAGAAATACATTCAAAGTGCATGCTCTTCTATGATGATCATGTGATTGATTTTCTGACTTAAAACCTATCACTATTATTTTATGATAGTGATAGTTGATCTATAGTATTCAGGACTGAAGAAAGAATGAAGTCTGAGGTTATAAAATGCCATATGGTGCGACAAAAAAAAACGTAATAATATTTATGAATTAATAATTAACAGTATTTGTAAAAAAAAAAATACCTTGAAAAATATATTTCAAAATTTGAAAATAATAATGCTCACATATATTTAAAGCGTGAGGATATGTACCTTTTACTTGATGGTTACAAGTCATCACATTTTTTAAAGTAAGTAATTACTTTTAAGTTTTAGTTGAAAATGGCAGAAAGGTTTTTTAAAACCATATGACCAACATGAGTGCACATGAACGTGATTTATTGTGGACACACTTATTTGTCATTAACAACAAGTGGCTTACAGTCGTCTCTGCATATTAAGCTGGGACAGCAATCATATTTTATCATCATCTTTAACTTTTAATACTTTCTAATAGATGTCAACAGGAAATTTGCTGGCTATTTTGAGTCGACACTATCAGGACGTGAGCTGCATCTGTTTCACTGATGACGGCAGTCATTTTGTGTCGGGAGGGAAAGACAATCTGGCTCTCATATGGAATCTCTCCAGGTGCGTTAAAAGCTTCACTAATCATTTCTCTTATTTTTTCAATGTTATTTGTGGTCTTACTGAGTGACAGCAAATCTACAGAGGTTTTCTCTGTTATCAAAGTTACACATGCAGGAAGTCGTTTTGAAGTATGTTTTTTGCCTTTTTGACTTGAGTAATGAACTAGTATTTGGAAGATTTGTAGAAAAGCGGTGAAGTCCAATAAATGCATTTATTTCAATACTATTGCTTGCTCTCCTCCCATAATACACCAAGCCCTTGAAGCGACGTAATACATTTAGTTAAAAACATGAGTGAGTGAAGTGACATGTGGCCAAGTATGGTGACCCATACTATAAAGGTGACATTGTTAAATTGCTGATCGACTTCTCATATTTAGTGTTTGGCAAGAGTGTGTAGTAGAATTCCATCTAAGAGATGAGACTAGAATATTAACACAACACAATGAATAATTGTTCCATTTATTCATTAAATATCACTGGATTATTACAATTACCATGTATGGAAATGTAAACTGATATTTCCTACTGACACACTACAGCAAAATATAGAAATAAATAGCTTTTTTTTTTTTACTGT